GATTTTTTTACTACATAGTAGGTTTCTGAATAGCAGGATATTTTCACTTTGACTCTTAAACCAGCTTTGTTCCCAGGCCTCCTATGATTTACAGTTAAAATGTTCAGAACTCCCAGGTGGTCACGAGTTACACTTTTAAACTGGCTTTTCTGCACTCCAAAACCACCATGAATAGGTCCATTAGGGGACTTTAAGGCCTGCTTAAGAATTGAGTCTAGTCTCCCAAAGAACTCACAAGGACAAAGATGCCAATTTACACCTTGAACTTTCACCACCACTGATGCTCTTTTCACTCCTAAGATAATTACCCCATCAAACAACCTTGGCAGATCAGTCTGACTGGAAAAGCCTGAGTCTTCAGTCAATCCTTCAGAAAGCCTGTTAGTATAGCTAACCTCATTGTAAACAAAGCTGGATGTATCCTATGTTTTTCTCCCCTCTTCAGTGCTGGGACAAGTCTTTGTTAGAAATCAGACCACTGATAAAAGAAACTTTTCTACTCCTGCCCAAGGCCACAAGATACCCTAAGGAGAAGCAGAATTTAAAGTTAATTCTTTGTATTCCAACCCAAGGCTTTTGACACCAGATGGATGTTTACTCTTTAGCATACTTAAAATGTGAAATACAAAATGCTTAAGAAAATCCCCAAACCTGTAGTTGGTATAATAGCAGCAGGCAGCAGTCAGTCATAGACAAATCAGTTTCCTAACATTCCAATATCCCTATCCTGATATACACATCAATAAATGAGCATAAAGCCAATAAAAGCTATGAAGTGCAACCATTTCAGTAACTACACTTACTCTCTTCATCCCAAAAGAGAAGTTTATAGGACCATACACTGATCTATTAGAACTGAACACTGCACACCAAACCAGATCTTCAGGTCTGAAAAAAAACCCCTAATTTCCAGGCAAGTATTAATACATACACAGAAGCAAACCACAAGGCGTGCAACTGAACACATAAATTTGCACATGTGTGGTAACACTTGGGTAATGCAAGTATTATTCTTCCAAAGATAATGAACAAAAAAGTTAGAATTAAATTTGGTGACATCTGTGAAGAATCTACAAACTTTATGGGAAAAAGCTGATGGGCAGCAGTGTTCTGGCACATAAGACATATTCTTCATGAAATTATTTTTGGCTTCTGCATTTTCCCTTACAAAACGAAACCTTTTTTTGATCCTTGCAAGTAGACCAAATCATCAACAAAAATCTTTCTTTTGACTCAGCATACTGAATCACTGACAAGACTGAATCATTTTTAACTTAGCAGATCGAGAATGAAAATAAAAAGAAAACCATGCAGCACTACCTGAATTCTGCCTATAGCAGCAGAACACTTAAAAACTTCTGCTACAAGAATTAGCAAAGAGTTAATTAGCCAAAGGTGACAAATAATCACAAAGTGACAATCTACTGCAGTGAGCTTGGCTTTTTTCAGTCTGCCATCTAGCCCCCATCTGTAGTTTCAGGAAGAGAGTACTTGCTGCACAGAACAGTAACAGTAAGCTGTGAGAAATCATCAACTGTGTGTGGATCAGTCGTCAGCACTGCTGAGCACTCACGTCATCTCTGCATAACCCAAGAGACTCTCAGAAAGTCAACTTAACAATAAATGCAATTGCTGCTTTCCATTATTTTCCCTCACTCAAAAGACCAAAGATTAAAGTACTATTTCTGAGCACTTCTGGGATGCAATTTCAACTTTTGTATGGTAGGTAAGTGTTCTTCTTCCTTGGCAAATGCATCCTATTGACCTCTCCAGTCACATGTAATCAGCATTATTACGTGTTGCTCTAACATTTAGGCATAACTGTTTTAAAGCATTTCAGTCACTCCTCTTTAGTTTTCTATTCATTACTTTTATTCACCTGACCCTCCTAGATCTGCCTTATATTCTTTCTGTCCTCTTCGAGCCAACTTTTTTCCAATTCGTTGTCTAAGTCCCAGAACTCCTGTCCACAGAGAGCGGAACCCAGGTTGTCAAACCTGGCAGGAAATCATCCTACACTTCATAGCAAGGGCAGAAAAACAACCTTTACACCCTATTGACTTAATATTGGGGTTGAATTCTCACTGGACTAAAATTGAACTACAAGCCATTAAAAAGACTGAATCCCAGCAAAAGCAAAGAGAAGCATGAAATAATACTTCGGTCAGCTTAAGACTGCTTTCTGCTGTGGTTCTCAAGTGTTAACACAAATGGTAACCACAAGCAAGTTATGGTAAGGCATAACATCTCCTTGCATAACATCTATGAACAGTTCTCCCAAACATATTTCAGAATTACTTCCTATTCTTTTGGGGGGTTTCAGAGGATGTCCATTGTTACTAACAGCATGAAAATAACATCCTAACAAAGGACAGTATCACGCTATTTTCACAGTCCTTTTATTTTCACACTTTATAAAGAATAATGAACATTATTTCCACATAAGTAAAATTCAAACCCCACTTTCCACTGGGAGGATTGATGTGTGGACTCCATGCCAGTAAAAGGTAATACTCTGAGCAGCAGCTAATTATATAAGTAAAAAGAACCTTCACTGTCACAATAGTGAGGAGGAAAAAAGGTAACCTCTCCTTTCTCTCCAAAACACACAAAAAGAGGAAAGCAAGATGAAAAATTATCCTTTAAAGAAATAAGTACGTACATGTATTATATGTTCAACACAGAAAAAAATACAGTTAAGATGGATTTATTTCCTGGAGGAAAAAAAAAATGTTTCTCTCCATGTTCTTATTTACAGAAGATATTAGTATCAGATATGAAAAAGTTCTTTTCATAAAACTATTGCTACACTTAGCTTCCTGCTACAGTGAAACTAATTTTAAATACAACAATATAGGCATATAAATACAAACATACAAATACAAAACAGCCAAAATAAAATAAGGTGTTTATTGCACAGAGTGTTCTTTTTCCTGAGGAGATCTGAAAAATAATATTCTAATTTCTCTGTCCCATTCCTCTAATCCTCTTATAAGCAGACATTCTCTCAACAGCTATTTAATTACGCTGAATTTCTGAGATCCACATTAGTAGCATCCAGTACATTCTAGCAGCAAGGCTATGTGTAACAGCACATCTTTATATCCCACTTGGGAAAAATCTTCAGAAAATGTACACAAACACTTGTCTTCAGACTACTTTCAGCATGACAGTCATCTATTTACATACTCTACATGTAAGAAATATTTTATCATTTTCAAATTTATGGTAGTATTAGGCATTTCCAATCACTTCAATTTTCAGCTTTCCGAAGTACTCCTTGTCAATTTCTTGCACAAAGCCTAATCTGATTTAGAAATCTACTTTTCCTTCTGAATTCATAACCACATTCCAGCAATATACTTAGAAATTAAAAACCACTACTAAAATTATTTGAAGTAAAAATGAAGTAATTTCAAAAAAAGAAAGGAAAAAAAGGAAAAAAAGGACAGCAGTGACCACTGTATAGGGAAAATAATTTGATTTTACACAGCGCCCTTTATTGTCCAGCTGTCCTTAGGTACTTTATAAAACAGTATGCCTCGAAGGTGTAGTGCCATACAGGCAAATGCAGCAGCTGTTGTGCAAGCTACAAGAGCTCACCTCTAACAAGAGGAAACTCATCCTGAGAGGCTCGATGTGAACAAAAGGCACTCAAGAAACATTTACTCTATTTAAGAAAGACTGTACCTATAATGCTGCATGCACATAGAATTCTAAACTATAAAATAAACACAGAAAATCAGTACTGTAAAGGTACGTTGGATGCAACATATCCCTTGACTACAAAAAATGAAAGTAGTCCTTAATATCTGAGATTTATGTTGCATTTTTCATACCACACCTGAATTCTTGTGTTTAAAACAATGCAGAGCTCTATGCAGATGGGAGAACTTCATCTGCTCCTAAGTGCTGTGGCCCAAACTGAGAACTCTGAAGTGACTGGTGCTTATACACTAGACAGTATACTAGAAGAGTCTCTAAACCAGGGATATCGTATCCTAAAATCAAAGAAACATTTCCAAAGGTGAAAGCTTTCTTACTAAAAACTTATTCTTTGTATAGGAAAAGTTGGTACTCCATGGCAAGCCACAGCATAACTTTTTCAGTTCTTTATCTTCCATTTCCCTCCTGTGTCAGCAGTATTAACCTTTTGTTTCCAACACTGTACAAAGCAGACAATGCTCACCTTTGGTCTCAGTAACAAGCTGGATGAAGTTGTCTGTCTATATTATCATTTCCTCTCTTTCTACTTAACAGCTGGCTTTTTTTGTCTTTAATGAACACTGTCGTACAGACAAGCCAGATATAATCCTGCAGTAGGAAAAAATGGCAGATATTTTTACCATGAAAGTACAAAACTTAGTTCTGTACATTTTATTAAGCTTGTCTTATTGAATGAACAACTAACTGTCAAAAGCATACACAATTCTAAAAATGGAAGCCTTCCATAAGGAAAATCCTTCCTGTATGATGAAACACACAACTTATCAAAACAGGATGCAGAACAGAGAGCACATGTGCATCCTTACTTCAATTGTTATGGCATTAGCCCTTCCTAGTTGAATTAATCTTTGGAATGATGTTGTGTTTGTTTTTTTTTAAAGCAAGTATGCTCTGCTCATAACTTTACGAAGCATGCAGAGACAACTGGGCACAAAAGTAAATACAACTCAGGAAACAGTCACCTATCAAAGAACATGGTAAACTCCTAAGCCTATTACATAAAGATTACTGTCTACTTGAAACAGATTAAAGTCAGGGTGGCCAGAAAAGCCCTAAGATATAAATTAACAGTCTTCTATGCACTCGATGGCTGGATTATTCCAAAATCTGGAGAACAAGGTGGAAGACAACTTATCTCCCATCTCATTCAATACTACACTTCATGAGTGGATACAAGCAATTCTGGAGTTCTGAGATGCAGAAATAAACAAACAAGTAAGCCCTCCTCTTCCCTCTGTTCCACCCTGCACAAAGATAGACATGGAAAGGAAACATTTATTATAATGGCAGTGTTTATTTACAAGAGAGAAGGTTTACACAAGTTGAAAAGTTGTTTCAACAGGAATCCAACAATTAGTGCTCTTGCCCATCTTCAAAAAAGGGACGACTTTAAGATTTGATGATGCACCTCCAGAAGACTTTGATGATCACTTGGGACAAAAGTACCAGAAATCAACTAAAACAACAAAAAAAAAAAGTACATCAAGAGTGACATGAGTTCTATACAACCAGCTGGACACAAACACTTGAAAAAGTAATATTCTCCACTTTCAGCTACCTCCTCTCCCATAACAATCCCTCTGAGTGAGCTCTATCCCCAGCTTGTGCAAAGCAGGGCCTCAAAATAATATCTGTTCACTCTAACAATTAGTTTGGCTGAAACAATCCTGCAACAAGTTACAACATTGTTGTGACCATCTCTGGAAAACATCAAAGACCAGGCAGATTATGTTCAGTTGTCTGTCAGAGGTCTGAGATGTAATACTTTGGTAAATAAATGCTATTTATTGGCATGCCATATAAAAGCAAATGGAATGCAACTTGTTTTCCATGACATGGACTACACAGATGTTACTTTGTACACAATCTGGAACTCGGCTCATGACTAAGTTTGAGTTACTGTTTTCATAATTCCCTCCATCTCAAAAAGAATGTATGCCTTCTCTATAGTTCCTGCCAGTAGAAAATTTTTTTTTAAAGTAGTTAAAAATGAAAATGTAGGATGCATTCTTATTTCCTAAAGAAAAACACATGTTCTGTTAACAAGAAGAATAGTCATAACAGTGAAAAGATAAAGTTTTGTCTTTAGAACTTACACTTGAAAAGTAGGTATGGTTATGCCAATTTTGGGAAAAGGAGCTGTTCATTTGATTAGTTTGCTACTGTGAGGTATGACAAAAACTAAGGCAAAGCAATCTATCTCCTCTGCTTTAAAAAGGATAAATGTCATGCATTTGTCTAGCATAATCAATGACAGAAAAATTTTGTCTTCTCATCTTTTTATGTGGACTACACTTTCACTCAAAAGGAATCTCCCACGAACCATCCATGAATTTCTGTTATGTTCTATTTAACAGGGGACAGGCGATATGATATGACAGGATATAACTATTATCATTTTCATATACACAAAACCACCTTTTTTCAGCAAAACAGTTATGTCAATTTTTAAAGCAAGCAGTTAGAGAAACAGTATGGCATCTGGGAAAAAAGGTACCTTCTGGGGAAACAGAATCTCCATTCACATGCACTGGTGCCTAAAAATAAAACAAACCAAACCAAGGTATCAGTATTTAGTTAAGGTTTTACAGGTAGCACCCAAACTCCAAGTTATTTTACTCCTCAAGGCAAGAGGTATTAACAAAAACAGAACTTTCTCTTGCTCCCACAGGACAATATTCCACCTTCCAGATTTCTCACCCCCAGTCTACAAATTTCTTTGTTGCTCATAAATGACAAACCAAGCACACGAATAATTACTGATAGATTAACGCCTTACCTAATATAAAGGGGATTTCCCTACTCTATCATCTTTGAGGATAATAGGATTTGTTTTTTTACATACAAAAGGGTAAAAATGCCTTTCCATTTATTATATTCCACTGTAAGATATGCATGTGAATATATACACACACACACACAATTTGCATTACATATATGAAAACAATTTATGTGATGATACTCTTTTACAATCACACTTTGCAAGAGCAGGATTCAGTTCTGCGGAAAAGTGACAATTTCTTTTAAAATTTAGGTCTGACATTTCAAAGCTGGATATGCCATTATTCAATCGCAGTATTACACAGCATGTCTTGTCCTGTAACGTAAAGGACAAAATTAAAGCCAGTTTTAATACTGTCTGGAAGCAACCTGCCTCGTGATGAGGATTCAGCCATCCTCCACTGCCCTTCCTTAGGACAGCGCAGCACTTGGACTGAGCTGCACTGATGTAACATTCCCTGAGCAGGCACAAGGCTCTACACACTGAGGAGTGGATTGAAGCCTATGAGGAGGGAAGGGAGAAGGAGGAGTCTTCTTCCCACTTCAGGCAGGAAGTCACTTCACCTGCACAGGTGGATTATGTGACTGGTCTGAAAGGATGTACCAGTAAGACAAACGTAACCCAGGTCTTCCAGGTCATATCACCAGACTATCGCCTCTCTTTCCAGTAAAACCCAAGCTTTACCTCATAAGGCAGGGAGAACCAGTGGTCACCATGTATAAGCAGATGCCTGCCACTTCTCAAAAGTGCTCAATTGCTCTAATTGCTCAAAAGGTTTGAGATAAGGACTCGGCACCTTTCCCCCAGGATCAGATCAAAACCTCATCCCACTGAACCAGGATTCTCTTCACTACACAACACTTTCAACTGGAACACCATTTAAAAACCAAATAAACTAATAAAAAACAAACTCCAGAGTAAAAAACCCACCAATCTTTTGTTTCACAACTGAAAAATGTACAGAAAATTCTGCCTCTAGTGAGTCCCAAATGGAAATGTCCTCACAGAAAGCATGTAGGGAGAAAGGCAATTGAAAGACTTTCCTGCTTAGATCTGAATTATTCAAAACACACTAGTAAACATACAGATTCAAATTTGTTTGGAGATTTTTTTAAATTATCAGGAAAAGTCAAATATTTTCCCCTGTAAAACACTGTTCTGCATTTTATCAAAAGAGACACCATCTAGTAAAGCTTTCCTAACACACTTTCCAATATTATAAGGGAAGAATTATGTGATATGTCTGAGAAACACTGCTCTACTAACTATATATAGATTGTCTTGGAGATTTTCCAACTTGCAAAGTCCTCAGCAGCTTCTTCAGAGAGCAAGCAGTTCTTAGGATTAATGTTAAACAAAGGTTTGGCGATCCTGGTCAGTTTTACAGATGGCAACACTTAAAAGCCTCAAATAAACAGTATATCTTAGCACTAACGGGTTCATCTACAAAGCTCTATTCCCTGAGTTTAGTTTTCAACATATACTGACAGTGAAGCTGAGAAGGAGATGAAACAACTTTCAGAGGCTAGAGAACACTAGAAATTTTCACCATGTAGTGTTAAAATTCAACTAGGTTTGTTGTTGCAGGGGTCTGGTGCATTTTTGGCTGGTTCAAGTGAACAGTACACGTGCTTATACACATAGATTATCTTCCATCTCTTTGGAATTGACTGAACGTGGCAACTTCACCTGCCATGGAATCATTCCTGGTTGGCCACCAATACAGATGACAGTACACATGCAGGGAACTAACTCAATGGAGTGGAAATTCTCCAATGCAGACAAGCCATTTTAACCCCCATCAGTAAAATACTGAAAGGTCAAACAATTCTGAAATCAACTGTATTAACTTGGGAATTACCCAATCAAAATCTACATGAAATTCTGATTAGTGCATAATTTGGTAAACATTTGATAAGGATCTGAATGTTTTCCATTTGGTTTTTAGTTATAGTTCTTCTGCTTGCCATGAAAACTGTTCCATAACAATACTGAGTGTTGCCTTTTGGGTTTTGGTGTCTTCTTTCAGGTTTTGTTTGTTTTGGGGTTTTTTTGAGAACATATATCTGATTTAAGGCAATTATCACCCACTAAAAATGCCACAATTGGAGTCTGACCCTGGAAACAGAATTGTAGGGAACCAGCTCTCACTGAACAAATAGCTCAGAAGTTTTGCAGTAGCTAAAATATGTTTCTTACTGTACTTGCATACAAAATCTCTTCCTCAGTTTTCATATTTTGTTTTTATCCAGGAGTTAATAGACGAATATAAATTAGAAGGAAATGTATCTGCTTTTAGTTTATATAAAAAACTCGACAAAAAACACAAACACCCCTGCAGACAGACACAGGCAGCTTTCATTTAAAAATCACCACAGCCATTAAAATTCTGCAGCCAACACTCACGTACTTTCACTTCAGTGTGAAAGAGATGAATGTCTGACAACCAAAGCATGCAGTATAGTGTACTAGACAAAAAGATACCTGCTTAAAATGTGCAAGTCAACCTCCCAACTTATATTTAGAGTTCAACTGTTCACTATTCCTATTTCAAGGTCATTTAAATTTTTTTAGTTAGTGTTATTTTTAGTTATCGTAGATTGGCAATTGCATGCAGCATGAACAGTATTTAATAGAGTATTGCATATTTTCCCAGTCTGGAAAGTACCAAGAGACAGCACCCATCAAAGACATAATTAAAGACTTAGACTGAACTGAAACAGAATCATGCAATGGAGTATGTGGAGACAACTTCACAAAAACATTATCACTTAAAGAAAAAAATGTGAGGTACAAAGAAGCCAGGAAATTATACTATTTGATAAGAAGGCAAGCTTTCATAATAAAAAAAGCATTAAAGTTTGATACAAGGTACCTGTTTTATGAACTGGTTTTATTAACGTCCTCCCCTCCCCTCAAAACAAGAAAAAATTTGATTTGTTATTAAGAGACCAAGTAAGGCACACTGATGATTTAATAATTATTTACCCTATGTGCTTCAAAATACAAAGAGCACAGAATGCAAAAGGAAATATTCCTTTGCAGGTGTGTCACCATTCAAATATGTCGGGACTTGAAGTTTCGGTTGCATTTGAAGACTCACTAAAAGTTATTGCAAATTTGAAAGTACAGAGGAGGTAAATATTTGCTTACAGCTGTGACTGACATGTCTAAAAACATACCTGAATTCCAAAATGTGTTTTTCTTTCATTTAAAACTTACGGTCCCATTAATCAGCATTCACAAATGCAATGATAAAGGTACTTTTAAAGAAATGCTGAAAGCAAGAGACCTCTATAAGAAAAAGTTTGGTTTGTTACTTCTTTATGACTTAAACCAACTTTTCTTTACAACTGACAGTCTTATTTGCTGGTGACAAAACAGCACCCAGCACAACACATTCTTCCTAGAAATGCTGTTGGAATGTTAACTGCACAGACAGTGGATGGCATGTCCTTTGACTCCTGAACTTGCATAATTACTCTGACTATTGAGGCAAAACACTGGGTGCCCTGGCAGCCATGCACATGTGCAAAATACCTGCTGCACTCATGTGGTCATGAGCACAGGCTCAGTCACACACAGCACATGTTGAAAAAGAAAAAGTAATACCTGGGGGCACTTTTCTCCATGTAATTTCTGGTAACTTTGCTTAATTTCTGCCATCCAAACTAGCATATTTTGAAATGGAAAAAATTCTCCTCCACTAACATTTGCACATGAAAGCATCAGACCTGCAGGACATTTTTCTTGCCTGAACAAGAAACCTGCATGTTTTAATTTTATGTTAATTTTCAGAATATGACAGACAATCTTTAAGAAACATTCAAAAAAGCATTCCACTCTCTTACAGCATTGCATTTAATTATACCAGTAGACAAACAAAGGGTCTGTTTAGTGATTAGGGACTATAGTCAGCTAGTCAATGACTTCTAACACTGAGTTGTAACTCATGGCAACAGGGAGACAGAGAAGACAGCAGACTAGATACAAATAGCAGTCCATCTTGCTATTCAGGATCAGAAGAAACAGAACTGCAGAGGGATGAAAAAAAATAAAAAAACAAAACCAAAATAACCCCACCAGAACAGTAATGAACCTGTCAGAAAGCACAATTGGATCACTGCAATGATAGTTTTATATTGCAAAGCTTACTCTTCCCCCACAGCCTTTGTGCTCCTGCTTTTACTTTATGCCTTAAATTTTTGCTTAAGGACCATTTCAGTTTAGCTACTTTATTTCAGTTTTGGAGCTCTGAATCTTCTTTTCCTATTAATCATTAAAAAAAAAAGGGGAGGGTGGAGGGGAGTAAATATCCTTACCGACTGAACAATTGACCGGGCATCCTCCTCACTGCAACAAAACGGGCTGCCACTCACCAGAACATTTGTGCTGAAAAATTAAATTAAAAACATGCTTTATCAATCAGTGGAAAAAAAGCCACTCACAATTAAGTACCTATGGAAAAAAAAAACCATCTTCACATAGAGAGCTCAGAACTGTGTATCTGCAAGAAATGAGGAAGTTAAAAACACAAAGTAACCAGTAATGCTCAAAGGAACAGGCGTGTGGAAGGATTCTTTGTTCCTTTGGGTTTGAGGGGGGTTTTAGGCTCTATGTTCTACATTAGTGCAAGCAGTACTCACACTCAGTGCTTCTGGCTGCTAACTTGGGTACAGTTCAGAGGACCACAGTGAAGAAACTAAATGCCCCCAAAAAGTCAGCAGAGATAAGCTGGCACTTCCTGAGGCAGTTGAAGAAGACCTAGATGGCCAGCACAGATCATGTGAATATCCCCTATCTCCTATGCCTTGAAGGATGGACAGATACTGTGGCAGGTCACAGAAGTAACAGCAGGTTACTTCAGTAACCTATCTGCAGTATCTAACAGGAAGGAAAAGCAGGCCAAAATTCTACTCCTACATAAAACAGGAGATACCTGTAGTACTTCCAGACAGCAGACAAACTCTGGGGCCAAATCCCTTGAAGAAATGTTTCCCTATGAATCTGTATCCTTTCACACAGAAAGTGAGTTTGGTCATGAGTTTTTAATGTCCTACAGAGTAAACTGCAAGAACTTCAATTACTCAAAGTAAGACTGCAATTTTAATTTTTTTTTTAATTTTATCAACATTAAGCTCAAAGTGCCTCTTAAATGATAAAGACCAAAATTTGAATATTATCCTACAGTATTCTTGCCATGCAAAAGTAAAATTAACAACCTGTCCAACTGCTAAGGTGTTGGGCAATTGCTGGACAATCAGCTCCAAGAAAGAGAGAGAAAGTCGCATTTCCCCAAAGCAGAAGACAACAATAACTACCTAAGAACAGCTTTTCCCACAGTCCTTGCCCTCTGGTTTAGCCAATGACAATCTACAGTCCTTGGAAAGCACCAGCCCTACTATTCAGGGCCTCTAGTGCCAGAACTGCCAATGCAAACCAGTCCAGAGAGTTTAATAAAGTCTATTTTAATTCAGACCAGGCCAAAGACTAATAAAGAACAATAGTTTGGTTCTCTCACTCCAGAGAGCAACTAAAAAATATGGAATGCTAAGCTGCCAAAGAATTTTGCAACAGAGCAGTGCAGCAGTGAAGGATAGAATAAACAGTGACAAGAGGACTGGTATAGGATACCAAGATTCCCCCAGATGATCCCGAACAAACACTCTGGGGCCATTGCTCAAAAGCCAAAGTAATCTATGCCACTTTTATGTAATGCCACTTACCAGTAAATCATCATCATACAAGGTGCAATTAATCAGTCATGCTCTATTATCAATTAATTATCAATCAAACCCATGAGTATTCCTGTTATCTCAAAAAAAAATAAATTAAGCAGTTCATGGACAGCTGCAACATGTTGAATAGCACCAGTACCAGCACAACACAAAGAGCAAGAGACACGACTGGATACTTACCAATTAATAGTACCTCCATCAGCTTTTTTATGAAGCAAAGCTTTCCAGTGTTCATGGGTGGATTTAATAATTTCAGCAGCAAAATCCTAGTTTACATGAAGGAAAGTTTTATGAATTAAACTGTTAGTGAACAGAAAAAAAGCCACAGAACTAGTTTATTAAAACATACTATTTCATGTGGTATTATAAGGGGCGTCCTTTGAGGCCTCATTAAATTTCTGGAGAATATAACATCCTTTTTATGAAAAGAAACAAACTTCACTATCTTTCAAATATACTGGCTACATATTCAGAAGTTCCCTCAGTCCTCAGCCAGAAAATATGAATGGTGCATGAAAGAAATGAAATCAGCACTAGATGCTAAGCAGACCCCTACTGCTGCAGAAAGCTGTACCAGGTCCTAAATGGGACAAAGTGTGTGAGCTATGACTCTGCTGCTACATGTGAGCATCAGGGTCAGAATTAGGGTTTCCCCTCCAGTAACAAAATTTGCATTTACTTCATTAATTGCCCAATCGTATACTTAAGCATTTGCAAGAACGTAACATGTCAGCTGCTTAACAGTTTCTGTTTGTTTGAAACAAGACTGAGCTTAAAAAAAAAATAAAGTAAAATAAGCCCTCAGTATGCAGATGATGATAGCTAGACTGGCTTGCAAAAAAAGCTGCCAACAGAACATTCACATTTCCTAACAAGGAGTGACTTGGAAAAGTGCCACTGGAACATTGTGAACTTCACCAGAGCTGCTGGAGCACAGCCACAGCCGCCTGGCCACATCCTGGGTCTCTAGAAATGCTTGAGAATTATTCAAGTGCTCCAAACCAGCTATCTCAGGGCATTTAGTGCCTCCAGGCTGAACTCCAATGGCCTGACAGGGGATATGCTGTTCAACTGTGGCTCCAGAGCCACACTCTGCTTTACAGTGCAGAAAATCTCTAAGACCTCTTCTGGGAGAACAGAGGAGAGCTCAGGTTATCAAAACTTACAACTCCACACTTGACTGATTTTAAAGACAGTTTTAGTGCAGAAGGGAGTCAGGGCATCTCTTTAACCAGCCAAAACATGTAAAGTTGCCTGTGCTAGTTAGAAGACATTATATAACTTAGATAGCACCCTGCAAGGTGAACTAGCTGACACATGGACATCATTCATTAGAAACCTGTGATTCTTTGCCAAGAATAATCTACAGAGTGTGCAATATACAAGTTGCAAAGCAATTTTACTGAAATCACATCCAATTTCCTCTGGAAAAATCCAGGTATTTTCTTCAACAAGGTCTACTCCTGGGTCCATTCCCCTTTCAAACACCAGCCATTTTAACTGTAGGTAGTTTAAAAAGCCATTCATATTTTCCAAAAAAAAAAAAAAAAAAAGGGGAAATATTTTTTCAGCCTTCAAGCCAAACAGTTCAAATGTTTTTACACAGAATTACCAGGAAAAAGTATATCTTGAGAAAATACCTAATATGAAAAAATCTGCAACCCATTGTCTGCATAGCCTTAATAAAAGTCAGAAATATTATCAAATAGGACTGAAAAAACACCTGAAAAGACAATCTGTTCATTACTCTGACAGAATGAAAAATGCCTTTAAAAACACCAACAAACAACACAGATATGTGTGTAAGTCTCGTCAGCATTAGGACTGAATATTTTTTGCAGACTTCCTTTAATGACCTATGCATTTTCCCTGAATAAAATGGACAGCAGCAAATATTATTTAATCGTAGCCTAATAAATTGTATTCAGAAGTCCCTCATATCAAAATTCTTTTCATTAAGCCTCTTCCTTCACAATTCCAAAAATTCTAGGAGGTATTATAGAGGCCACATGACAGAATGATGCATCTTTGATTTTGCATTATCTTTACCTTGTCTTTAAATTCTCCATTAAAAGCAAAATGATTTTCTGGTTTATCATCAGGGACTTTATATAATCGGAACCAGTCAACTGTAGCCTCAAGGTAACCCGGTTTGTGCTTCTTGACATCATCAATATCTGTAGGTTAAAAAGAAAAAAAAAAAAAGACTGGATCATTTTTAATCATTTTTAATCATAGGTTTTGTAACATTCATTTTTTAAAATTTCCTAGAGGATCTGCAAGCAATTTGATTGCACTGAGCACTTTCAAAGTCATTGGGGAACTTCACTTTATTACATTTGCTGCCCAGAGTTGAATATCTTACGATTTCACAACCACACTAAGCAGGTAAACCAGTTGCCTCCTGACATTCGTTAATTAAGACCCAAAGGGACAATGAATGAAAGGACCATATTTGTGACAAGAGAAGAAGAAAATTCCATATTTATAGACTTTCGTCTTAGTAGGTATCTCTTGCAATACTTAGATTATTCACTGAGGTAATTTTTTTCCCCAGCAACTGCAAGGGCTACAAGCATTTTTTGGTAATGAAAGAATAGCTAGTAAAAACAATTTCAACACATGGATTTTTAAACTAGCACCTCAAAACAAAATACAGGCATGACTTCTCAAAGTTGTATTAAAGGTATCCCTTTGCTCTTCTGAATTTATGACTTCCAAATTCAGCCCCTTCAATAAAAGATAGATATGTGCCAGGAGCACTAAACACTAACTTTACTGATAACACCTTGGTATCTGCATATGATAAGCACATCACAATGATAAGCAAGTCTGCCTCTACCTCTATAATCCCAATGTGCAAACAGGACACAAAGGGGAATGTATGCCACTTGTGGGACACCCTTGTGAGGCAGAGATGAACACTGCCACAGTGTGTACACAGAGATTAAACACTCACATAGTAATTCTGCTTGAAGACTACACTGCTGTATCAAAGATGCAGCTCGTGATCTTATATGCTTACTTGCAATGGGGTGGTCCTATTAACCCATGGGTAAATTAATTCTCTGTCAATATGTTTACGTGGTTAAAGCCTTCAATACTTTTCTAATTGATTTTTATACAATAAAGGATTTTGTCCTTTCCAGAAACCAAGTACTTTGTATCTGGTGTAATCTTTCTATTTCCCTTTTACAGTCACTTCTGAGGGAAATGGGAGCTGACTTTTTATTGCTGTAGTCTTCCAGTTATTTCATAACTTCACTCTGCTCAGGCCACCTTCCATAGTGTTACTCTCCTTCTCTACCGTTTTGCAAGTCACTCACTCATGTCTCCCTTCCTTATCCCCTCTTGCTCTCTCTCAATACTGCTTGGCTACTTCATTCTCTTCTCCCATAGATATGCCTCATTTAATGACATCTGCTGATTAGCAGTGATTCCTGATAAGATACTCTTCTGTCTACCCAGTCCTAAAAAACAGATTTTCAGAGTTGTTTAGTCCACGGAATTGACACCTACTCATGTGCTTTCCATCTTGAAGTGCCTAAATGTCTTTTCAAAATTTCATCGTGAACCTGAACAAAAACATTAAAGTATTTCTAAAGAGAGTAGTAAGAGACGAGGAAAGGTCTTGTGCTACAGACCATTCAATTCTCAGTAAACCACCAGAAGAGATGACATGTGGACTGAACAGCCAGGCCAAACCTCTGTGAGAAGATATGCTGAGTATTCATAAGCATCTGATAGATGCCACTCCCAAATTCCACTCCATTACACACTACCCAGAGAATAAAGCATAAAACCTTGAAGAACCCCATGTAAATTTTTGCTTTTGCACACACTTAATAGGGCTACGTGTTTACGGACTTAGAGTAAAACACATTTTGAACTTGGCTGCTGGCCATCTGTCTATAGGAGATTAGGGAGTTGCATTGGCAGAATCCCAGAAAAAAGCAAGGGCACGTAAGGCTGTGCTAGAGGCAGGTCTTCTAGCTGGAATACGTGTTTAAGAGCACAAGAGGCATTTCACTAGGATGGGTGGGCAAGACCAACCAGAAGGAATGATTTAGAAAAGGGTAGGATCAGCTGGAGCCAGAATGCTTCATCTGGGCACTAAAAAAACTGCAGCTTCAAATCGGTTTCAGGGCTCCAGTGTATCTTCCTGTTCTCACCAAGCAAAAGAATATCCCTCCTTCAACTTGAATCCTTGTCATCTCCTCCTCTTTTGAGGTCTGAATTCACAGTTTATAGCATTTGTTGAAGAGACAGTATCTCCTCAAGTCTGTAAAGCAAACCAGGCTGCTGCAGCAATGTCCTTGGCTCCCAGCAGTGGACAAACTCCAGATCTCTGTCTCCAGACACTACTTAAATTCGAGCATGCTTTCTCACACTGCTGCTTCTTTTTTCTGGTTCCTGTTCCAGCAAATCTCTCTCCTAACTCTGCTTCTCCATTCCCCCTACTTGGTTATTTGCTTCCCATTCCCATAAAAACTTCATCAAAAATGCTTTACTGTCTACTAACTGACACTTGGTCCTTCTAACTGTTGTCCCTTATTTATAAGTTTTATTTAAATTTCTTTAAAGGACTTAAAGATTAGGATAGGCTTTGGGACAGACTTTACTTCCTTATGATAGGGATGACCATCTTCATGGATAGAATTATCTCCCCGAATTTCACACTCTTGCCTAGGTAAAATGACTAAACAGAATCAGGCTACAGCATTATATGGCTGTTGAATACTGTCTTTGAGGACTTAAGAAGACAGGCATTGGCTGCTTTTATTTCCTTGGTTCCTGGCAAGTTATTCTCCTTCATCCCTGGGCTTCACTTCACTGCTCTATACTATAAAGGACAGCTACTGAGCATCAAATGAAGCTTAAATGCTTGAGGAAAAAAAAAAGACCCAAAACATCTGTATTATAGTGGGAGTTGATGGCAAGAAATAGAATAAAGTGCAACAATGCAATAAAACAAACAAAAAAATTGATCCTGTTGCTGTGGAGTCAGCACATAGTACAAAATATAAGGAAAACAGCAGCTCTTGCATCACTCAACAGCCACCTGATCAGTTCATTAAAAGTCACCACAGAAAAACTTTAAAGACATCTCATCTTCCACTCCGAAATCCAAACAGCCTTTTTGGGACATCAGGGGGAAAAGGAGAAAAACACTCAGAAAACAGAAGAGCAAGCAAAGAAAGGTGAAATAAAAGATCACAATAAGCAGTACCATGATTTACCACACTAATATCTATAGAAGATAGCTGCAAATTATTTTAATTTAAAAAAAAAAAAACAAAACCAACTTAGATGTCGTTTCTACAGCAAACACTGTTAAGACACTTTTTTCTGACCCTGACTGCTTACCTTCCCTCAGAGCTATATACTTACACTGATGTCAAAATGTGCTAGGCAGGTTTGGGAGTAGCAAGCATGTACATGGCCCGTGAAACTATGGCAGTTCATCTCTGCAAGCAAGCCCTGCTCATAACAGAGTAGAAAGGCCAGGTTGCCGCAGGTACCAGCCAGCAGGTACCCACTGGGCTCTGGGTGGTTATTTCTTTATACTGCCTACGTAATACCACAGGTCTCATTTTTCTGGGCACCAAAGTTAAGCACCAAGGGTTAAAAAGAGATAGCTAATCACATTAAGGGTTGCAGTTTAGTCTCAATAAGGAAAACCTCTAGAGGTTGGCACAAAGAACTGCTGCTAGCTCTCTGTCAAGGGACTGAGCCAATGTGAACACAGATCCCACTTCTATCTGGCTTTACAAAGGAGAGCAACAAAAGCATTTGTACAAAACTACCATTTTTAGTACAACAGATGCTGCTTCTTGCAAGCAAAGCTAAAACAACATGCTTGCAGCAAGCTTTCTAAACAAGGTCTGTGGGAAGAGAGGACATATGTTTTTAATAACATCTTATAAACATTTACAGGAAGCAGCAGCTACATTCCATATAAAGGCATTTGGTGTATTTTGAGCAGGGGGTAGGAGGGGAGCCTTGGTACATATAATTAATTTCTTTATACTGAGTGCTTACACAAATCCACAACAAAGGTTTCATGGGCCTCTGCTGCTTCTCTGCATATAAATACACTCATATGCAAGGAGGGGTCTGTAACAATATATACAATATACTTTGGTTTTGCCATTTAGGGTTTGATCGCTTAACCCTATCTTGAGACGCACTTTATAAAAGCAGCATGGCAACATCATGGCTAGGCTTCATGACAGCACAGTTAACTACACCAGTGCCAGCAAAAGGCAGAGCAACAAAGTCAGCAGACATCAGCAACTGCTGCTGAATACATCCAGGCACCTTTCCAGTGAGCAATAGCAAAAAATGGCTGCTAAGATTCCAGGCGGGTAAAACACCTCCCAAATGCCACCCAGCATACATGACTAGTCCAATTTGCTGAAGGAAGGAGAGCTGACCTTTTGAGAGTCAGACTCTTCATAAGCTGCTTCAAACACAATTCCTGCTTCAGCTGCCAGTGACTTTTAAAACCTCTTGGCCAACATGAAGAGGCACATACATTTAGACCAAATCACAGCACGAAAATATCACTCCTCCTTTACGGTCTCAACTTAGTAAAGCACATCAGATATGCATGTAAACTCCAATATATTAAGTTCAATCCAAATTATGAGGTAAGCAGACAAGTAGCCTTTCTACTCCTGGCTACTATTTCACTGAAAAAAAAAAAAACACAAAAAACCAACCAAAATGCAAAAAACAACAACAACAACAACAACAACAACAACAACAATAATAATAATAATAATAATAATAAAATCAACCAGGCCTATTACATCACCAAGATTTAGTGTTTCAGTCTGCAAGGAGCTTTAGGTCCTTTCTCAGAGTTGCTTGGTCTAAAGTTACTTTGCTGGTCCACTAATGGCCATCTGCCTAGCAACTGCCTGAGCACAAAGACAATAGCCAATAAATAAATCTGAAGATGTCTAGTTTTAGTCTAAAAGAAACTTTCACACACAATTACCTGCATCTGACATACAGCTTATATTTGGTGTGAGATTGCCACCACTTCCACCAGAATTAAGTGCTATTATTTCAAAGAGATTGCCTTCCAAAGTCAGTCCAAAACGACACTAAGCCCTTGCTATTCCCACTGATGACACAGTTCCCACTTGAATAGGTGCTAAGCATTGCTAATCATTCCTGGGTATTGTCACTGTAAATTAGAGTTTCTCATTGCTCTGTGTGAAAGAGAGAGTTCTAGGCAGGGTCTTCAATTTAAACCAGTATTTATCAATAAATGCCTGCAGGACACAGTACGGCCTGAGTGCTATGAATGAACAATGAGAACCATTCAGAAGTTGGGACTGCTCAGTTCTAAGTTCTGTGAAGTCTCAGAAAAATCAATGGCACTTAGGAGAACATTCACGATCCCAGAAGGAGAATATACAGAGTACCTGGGGTGTGCTTAAAGCGGCAAGAGGAGTTAACACACTGTGAGGGCTCAGGATGGGGCTTGCGAGTAATCACCACTCTGGTGTCTCGGAATTATCTTTTCCAAATGTTCACTGGGGGCTGTGCACACACTGAGCTGAAAGCAAATGTGATGATTCTCAGTCCAATTGGAAATGCTTAACAAATTATACAAAAGTGACTGGACAGGACTAGAAGGCAACACTTAGCCTCATCTTCCCCAGGAGGCCACCTCGGTAACAGCAGCACGTGAACTACCGAGGAGAGACCAGTTATATCTGTAGCTGCCGTCCCTTTACGCTGAAATAATTAACAACTTTGGAAAGGGGGAAAAACAAGTATAAAAGGACATATTGTACTGCTGGCTCCAACAGATTTGTTTGTTTTCAGACAGGAGAATGATTGCTGTTAAACACTGCAAGCCAGTCGTGTTTTGTGAAAGCAGATGGGGGCTTTTTCCCCCTTTTCTTTCTTTTGTAAATCCTAGGCTGCAACTCCAATCCCAAAGGGAAATCATATTAAATTGGATAAATATTTCTGCACTTCTCTGTATCTCAGAGCAGTTCTCGAAGTTTTGCACATATTCTCTGATAAGAAAGTAGGCACTCAGGAACCAACTAAAGGTAATGGTTTGCCCATACTCCCCCCTTTTTTTTCTTTTAAATAAGATTAAAGCTCCTACTCCCCCACTCCCAAACTAAAGCTGTAACAGAACTGAAGTAAATCATTACCTGGGGGGGGTTGGTACGAAACAAAAACCAACCAACCAACCAACAAACCAGCAGAGGACTTTCAAATAGAAATAGTTAATCCAAAATAATAAATAATACTGGAATAAACTGCCACAGTTTTGCCCCAACTTAGTAGACTCCTTTTAAATTCTTTCATCCATTTTTCTGACTACATTCTCTCAGAAACTGTTAAGCAAAAAATGTAAGACTTTAAACAGAACAGTGTCTAGAAATGAAGGGCCAATTACTTGTGTTTTAACTACTGACACTTATGCATTTTGCTGCACATCACAAAGTGGTTTAAATTGATACTAACATTAACAGCAAACTATTACTTACTATTTCCTTAAGCTGAACTTCTTAATCTCTATCAAAGTAGTTAAAGAGTCATAAACACTATGTAGTAATTCATCTGCCCAATGATTTAAATCAGCATCAACCCAAGAGTTTCCTTTTCCTCATCTCCTCTTCTCCCCTTCTTTCCCCACAAGTCAAGTATTCTCCATGCGAAAGCAACCTGCAAGAAAACTGAGAATGAAGGGCCAGTCCAGTGACATACTTTATGTTCAGAAACCAGGACAAAGCCTCAATGGTTGAGGAACACAATTGCTTAAAAAACTACTGGATAGCCCTACTCCTACAGAAAGGTAACTCTGTGCCTTGGTGCTCCCAACCAACAAAGAGCTCTGATTGTACATACCTGATGGGTATTGATTGCGTGTGTATATATATATGTATATATATACACATGGGGTTTGATCTCATAACAATCATTTTTAGACAAACCTCCTCACTTAATTCTCATGATTCCCAAACACTGCATTTGAGGAAGAGAACCTCTGTTTATCCAGAGAAAAGCTGTACTTTACCTGTGCTGTAAAAACCTACTTCCCTGCAGCTTTAACACATCTTCAAGCAAAATTAGATCTCATCTGCTATTCACGTAGACACATTTCAGTATTTGAATTTCATTTGCATATCAGAAGAATGGTAACAGGGAATATAAGTCTGAACAGGATATTTCCCCCTGCACAGCTAGGGGGATATTAGGGTGATACTAGGGTGAGCTGCACTAGCAGTTTACTTTGCAAATTTTCAGGTTAAAAGGGGAAACACACTAAGCAACAAACCCTGGAAGTAACACACTTACAAGTGACAAAGTACTAGAAATATACAGCCTTTTCAGAATGCAACACAATGCCTGCAAATATAACAGGCACAAACACTTTCAACAAGGAAAATAGCAGTGTGCTATGTAACGCAAGTGGGTAAATATTCACTATTACACAGGAGATAAGCCTGTAATTTTAGGAGGTCACTTTCTAAGGCAGTTGTGTTTCAGAAGTCAAAAGACTTTCTGTATGACAGGTCCGCTTGAAAATCCAAGTGAACCATTTCAAAAAAGTTTACTGTGAAAGCACATATACCCTCCATGAAGGAAGCACCTGACTTAAACAGAACAATAAAAGAAAAGTCTTGCCTTTCCACTGTGTGCCTCTTCTTGTCCTGGGTGGTCTAAACTCAGGTACCATTCTACTGTGCAAGTTGTGGACCTAACTTGCATAAAGAAAGACAAAAATACTTGCCATGGATTTTATGGGCTTCTGGGTCATCCACACTGATAGCAATTATCTTCCAATCTGTCTCTCCTTCATCAACAAGAGCTAAAACACCCAAAACCTTCACTTGAACAATCTCACCAGAAGAACGAACCTGAAACAGAACACATCACAAAGATCTGGAAAACACCACAAAGAATTTCTCCTTTACCTTACAAAAAAAATAGTTTTACTACGTTTTTGACTAGCAGCTATAGCACTATTGCAAGATAGATCTGAAAACCTAGCACACATGTGTTTAACATTTCTAGCCTTTCTCCTACTATTTGTCAACCCTCAATCCTCTAGTCAGCATTTAAGTACACAAGAAGCTAGAAAATATTTCCTTCCTTTTTACCCTAGTTCCTCTACCCTTTCTTGATCGTCACTCCAAACTGCAAGTCAAAAGTAGCTCATACTCATTTTTTAACTTATTCCTGTCTCTTGACTGTCTACTTTCCTCAACTCATGGTCGTAATTTATCTCTTGTTATTCCTTCCTCTAGACTCCAGTATACACGCATAAACACACAGCCCTTCCCCAGAAATAACAGCACAACTATTTTTCCATTATCTTAGGAACCTTCTCTCTACCAGAAGATACTCCCTTTGTAACTCCTTCTGGATCCCTTGAAATTCATCTTTAGGCTCCTCACCTCAAATAGTCGGTTACCACCTTCACTGAGGTCACCAATTAAATTTCCCCTTACCTAAAATATCCCAAGATATCTCTCTTCCAAACTCATTAATTTCATAACCTCATTTTTGATACCACAGAACATTGCTTCATTCTTCACTGCCTCTAGATATGTACATTTTTCTTTCAGTGAGCTAAACCTTTTCTTTATACCTACTAATGGTTTTTTCTGCACCTCTTTTTCATCCATCCACTTTGTGACTCATAAATCTGCAACACGGCAACAGGTTCCTGTCTTCTCTAGAAGAGGATCTACTTCTGTTTGCACCCATGAGTAAACTCAAACTTACCTCCTTTGTGGGTCTGACCTTGTAATTTTAATGTGCTAAGGCTGTCATACTTCCTCATCTTTCAACAACCTGTTCACAGCTACAATACTCCTAATAGGAGGAAAAGAAATAAATCTTTTCCTTTCCCAAAAATCTTAACTCCCTCCTACCTCACACAAAACTCAATGTCCAGCCACAGAACTTCAGGACGGTGTTTTTTTATTTTCCCTTTTATCAACTACAAACACTTTACCAAATCCTTCTTTTTTTCCTTCTTTTTAAAAATCCACAATTTCCTTACCTATTCTCTCCTTAGATCCTCTGTTTATACTGTCATCAACCCCTAATACTATTACCATTTTTTTTGTTTTCCATCTGACCTTCTCTTCCAGAAGTTGTTGCCAAATTATTAAGTTAACCTTGATAAATTAAATTAATCTCAATAAAGACAAACCTTTGAACCTATTTCACAAACGTCAATAGGATCGTTATCCCCACAACATCCTGTAATGGTATCTGTATGGTTTGGATCTTCCCAGGTCTGCCAAAGGAAAGAGAACTATCAGTTATCAACTAAACTGCAATCATAACTTGTCTTACCACTAAATTACTAAGATTAATAAAAACACCAATAAAAACATCAGCTTTCTGAGAACAGGCTTGCTCAATGGGAGAAGAAAAAACAAACAAACAAACAGCCAATGGACTGACCTTGAGTAACTTACACTCAGGACAAGTAACATGAGGATTACTGAGGACACAGAAACAAAAATATTAACTGCATCCATGACTCAGCAGATACACTTTACCCAATTGCAGTGATTAAGGCATCAGAGGATGCTGAATTCAGATTTTTGTAGTTACTAATGGTTATGGGATCAAGCTAGGATATCTTACAATTACGTTTTCATTATGCTCTTTAAATACCATGACACTAACACTTATTGCTTTCAAAAATATGGAGGCTTTGAGCTAACTATCCTCCTAGGCATGGATTTGTCAGAATCCAATAAGCTTTTTAAAGTTTTCAGATTTGGGTATGAAGTATTTCTTAATATTTTGAGATGTGTACCTTCCCAAGAACAGTGAACTGCTTAAGACCAAAAAAGTTTCTCCAAGGGTAAGTTTAAACCCCTGCTCTGAGCACTGTACAAGCAAGGAGTCCTAACCAAGTTATACTAATTTAATTACTAGACCAGTACATGTTCTTACTCTTACTGGCAAGTAACTCATTCTACAGTTGAGAAGTTTTTCTGTTAACAATTTTAAGTCCAATGAAGTTTCATTGAAAAGATTTTAGAAAGCTTTTTTTTTTTAAGGAGCTATGCTGTTAGCTCCTGCTGTCCATGATCATAACTCCACCTCAAAATTGTTTATTTTTCCAAAACTCTTCCAAAGGGTTTTTTATTTAAGACTACATTATATCAGTGTTACTTTTCTGCATAATTTCATCTCTTCACATCTAGGTTAAAAGGAAAGCTCACTAGTTGTTCTCTGGACAGTAGAGTAGCTTCTGCTATGATAGCAAATATTCTAATATATTAAAAATTAAAAATTACAATTATTTCCAGCCCTCTCCGATTTCAGGGTTCAACGTTCAGTGCTTATACAGTTAAATGTAAAGAAAATAAACTACCCTTTTCAAGCTCCATCATGTTCTTCAGTACTAATTTAAGTCCAATGGGTTATTCATAGAAATGAAAAAAGTTTAAAACTTTTCATTATGCTCAAAATTTCATGCATTAGTTGGCTTTTCAAGGCTTGAAGCTTTGAATGCCTCCTGATCAGTAAAGTCTCACAGTTCAGAGAAAAGTTAAGAAAGGCAGTTGAGGTTTAATCTAAAAAAGAACAGCCCTTGTGTTCTTCTTAGTTAAAGATATTAAGAAATCCCAATTAAAATTTATGCTGCAGCATATGAAAATCCTAAATGAGTTTTTTAAAAAATGCCTTGTTTAAGCAGGAAAGAGCTACTTGACAAAGTATTCTTGAATGGCAGACCATGACAGTTTAAGTCTGTCACTACAGCACAGAGACAGACTAAAGATTTGAGATTTCTTGACCATTTAACTCCTTCCTAAAACATAGCTCAGATTTACTTTCACACCCAAATTCTGATCAAAATTTATGGACACAATAAAGTTCAACATAAAAAAAATCCTAATTTACAAATGTATCCAAGAGAAGCATCCCTCTTGCTGCTGATTTGCATTCAGGCAGTATCCAAGATTTACAAGGCAATTTACACAGAAGACAGAAAACTTTCACCATTATAACAAAAATGTTACCTGTGGGAGGGCACCATAATTCCATATATAACCCTTGTGAGGAAAGATATTTGCCACATATCGAAGCTTCCCTTTCTTTATATCTTGTTTAATGGGATTCAACGGCTCCTCAGTGGCAATCTAAGCAGATCGTGAAAAAGGGTGGGGGTGGAAAGGGGGAGAGAGAGAGAAGGAGAATGATAAAATGGAAAGCAATTCATTCCATATTGAACCAGTTAGAAAAATTCATCTGGCAGGCACATGCTTGTGGTTTGAGAATTATTAAAAGTACAATAGCTTCAGTCTGAATCTCAAGGGTCATATTCAAAAAGCAGCTTATTAAGGTTTTAAATAATGCTGTAAAGTGTGCAAGAAAAAAATGAAATCTAGAAGAGAAAGTAATAAATTTATAAGGAAACTGTCATGGTCAAACATAAATACTGAAAGGAACTTAAGTCAGAAGTTTGCACTTTATAGTAAAAGTTCAACAGACATGCAAATGGTGGTACAAGTTCTTCTGACAACAGGGACTCTGACACTCACAGAGGAGATGTTTCATGTTCTTCTTGCCCTCTGTTCCTTGCTCTCCTATTGCACACATCCCTTATTTCCAACACCTTTCAGCATACAAATGCTTTTTAGCAAGCACGAATTCTCTATAGTCACCAAATGCCAACTTAACGCAGATTTGGAACAAGTTAAGCTGGCATTAGAAGAGGGCATTCTTAATCCCAAAGAAGCACTCTCAGAAGGACAGAAGCTGAACAGTATCATCCTCCCCAAAACCTCAACTACAAACCCACTGCCATATGAATTACCTACCACAGCTAATTCACTGTAACCACCCTTTTGACACTACATACCGCAATCCAATCCATGTTAGCTTGGTTCTTGCCTATGAACACTCATCTGAATGGCAAAACATTGGTTACCAGCTGAAGTGGTTACACTGGCTCAGGCAGTGCACAGCTTCCATGCATAAGCACACAGCCCTTAGTCCACATTCATTTTACATCCCTGTAATTTACCTAAATTACCTCTCTCACTCTGGTTACAAATCCATCCCCAAGGAATTCCTCCTTTCTGAACCACAGCAACCTGTCAATAAATAGCACATACTTATTCTGCAAGTAAACCCTCCCCAACAGCTGAGATGATGGTTCACACATTTCTGGTTTCACACTGGATTCTACTTGCTTCTGGTCACAACTTAACACTGAAGACCTTAAATGTGCCACCTGGGACACTGACAGAAGTGGAGCTCAGCAATGGAAACTGGGACAAAGAAGAGTGACTGCCAGCAGCAGACAAAAGTTTCATGAAAAGCCCCTTCAGTAAAATCAAGGGAAGAACAACAGAAACACAACAAGGTGATGAGTAGAAGATCTGTCACTGGGGATGTAACAGCAGGTAACATTCACTCTAAGGCAAGATTTAATTTCCTACAATCTCCATTCCACAAGAGGGAATCTCAGCACAGAGATGCAAAGTATTAGCAGGTATTAGCAGCTTACCACGGTCTGGACTGAAGGAGTGCCAGGACACAATGGCATGGCAAGACAACTGCCTTAACGACTGATGCAGGAAATTTCAGCTATATTAGAAGTTAAATGTTAGAGAACTACATCTAGTCTCCTCTATCAAGCCAGAAGAGTCTACACACTACAGATTTCTGAACCTACCAGGACAGTAAACTTTTCTACCCCTGACATAATGTGCCAAGAGAAGAGGAGGGAGAGTAACCTGAGCTTTAGGCAAAGAGTTCAAGTAGAATTGTCAAAGGAAAATTCTAAGAAAGAAAACTCAGTTTCCACAATAAATCATCAGTTTAAAATACAAGGTAAATATCTAAGGTAACCCTGGTTGCAGAATAACAACTGTGAAGGTAAACACAGTTCAAATAATTTTCTATAATCAGGGAAAGGAGAAAACAAAACTTTGAAATAACAGGCTGGGTAGGTTCTTTGGTATTATTTTCAATAATTAAAATAGTTAACAGCTCAACCACAAGCTTCCTTTAAAGCAGCTGGAAAACATCCCTAAGATTAATACAAGTGTTCAGAAAGATAGGACATATCCTGGTGAGATGTGTTGTTTCACAAACACTACAGATGAAGCCCTATTTGTAAAATATCTCCCTGCAGGAGATACTTTCAATCAGTGAGGTCCCCAAGTAATTTTTTTTTTTTTTGTCACAAGGAAATGCTTTTTTATTTTCAACTCCATTTGTCAGGATTTGGCCTAGCACCCTATAGAGTGGAAATGATTAATTAAATTCTCTGAGTGGAATGCTCCACAAACATGAAAGACTAAAATGCTGGACAACATCCTGAATATCAGTACTTCCGAACTCTGCTGCAGGTATGCTGCACCCTCCAGTCAGATGGTTGAAGAGAAGACACTTCTTATAATTGCAAGGAAAGTGTCTGTATGCACCACTTCAAATCAATTTTTTAACAGAGATTTCATGTGTAAAGAGTAATCCACACTGTGATTAAACTCAGACTATTGAAAGCCACTTCATTGTCATAACTTCCATAAATACCTATATAATCAAGGTATTTTTCTTAATTACCTCCATTTTTGCATTAGTCCAACGAGGCACTTCTACAATCATATTATATAGGACCTAAAACAAAAAACAGTGTCAGAACTGAAAATAAATTCCTCTTGGCAATTAGTATTTTACAGTAACACAAATTCTCTCCTCTGCATTCAGCAGCAACACACATCACATTTCTCTGTTCCAGCTGCTTTTACTTGTACAATTCATTTAGTTCCGCACAATGATATTCAACCTCCTTGGTTCATCCTTTCCCCACCCCACTCCTTTGAGAATACAAACAACAAAAAGTAATGGAAATACACATGATGGTTTTTATGCCCATATCGATATTACTCTTCACAAAATGTTCAGAATTTCCATGGAATGGTTTGCTACATGGCAGTGGTTCAGCCTACTAGTCAAAGAGGATTGGATGTTTCTATAGAAAAGAGTTAGCTTCCCTTAAGCAGTGGAAAGGACAATGCTTCTGTTTTTTTCCCCCTAAGGATTTATTTCTTTAAGGCCCTCCTCTTTTGACTCATTAATTTTTTTAAAAAACCCATGCAAATGCAACAACCACTGACATTTCTGATTCTCAGTCAAATCTAGTTGAAGCGAGGTGATACTAATCCAAAAGCGATGGCTGAGGAAAGATATGGACACAGATACCTCACATTTGTGTTAGGCTTCTTCCTAAGTGAAAGCTGTTTTGAGAAGGGGGTGTGGGAGGAATAAACCCAAAACATGTAAACTTGCATGTTTTTAGAAGAAAAAAAAGTAGTCTACACCTTTCTTACTGAGGAAGTTAAAGCAGTATTTTCCAAAGAGAAAAACTCTGTGTAACCGCCGTAAGATTTCTTCTTCTGAAGCTGTCAGAGGTGAGCACTACCAAGGAGTGGAGTATTAATTGAATTGGGTAACTAGACTAAACCATCAAGCAATGTCTACAACCTATTTTAAATTACTAAAATAACCCCAAAAATATCACATTGCCTGGAACATCTCTTCATAGCCAAAGAAAACTTACATTGGTATTAACAATCACAACAGTTCAGGAAAGGCAAAGTATGTTTTTGCAGAAATTTGTAGGAAAAAAATATAAAGTTACACGAACTGAAGACTTGCACTGACTCTTTAACAACATTGCAATTAAGGCTCCAGTGGACCCTTAAATATTTGTATTTTTGCTCCTTGCATCTTGCAGCTGCAACAAACAAATACCATTACCAGGGTCAATGTCACAGTCTGATTAAAGTAATTCCAATGGTTCTACGATCATGTCCTCCCAAACAAATCTGGAATGTGGAAAGCAAGAAAGCAAAGGAAAATCCCAACTGTCACTCAGCATTTCTATAATGAGATCACAAGCTATGCACAATCCTAACAGCAGATTCCCAACAAATTTAAATTATATTTGCCATCCATAAGTACTGTGCCCATACTGCAATCCGTGGCACATCAGATGGAATCACTTTTCCCAAGCACGTCATCACCAAATAAAAAAAGATTTAAAAAAAAAAAAGAAGAAAGGTGCTTCAGATAAGTTTCAGTTACATAAAGTACACCTTATGTATATAAGAATAGTTGAAACAAAAGTAATCAGAACAAGGGCTCAAAAATGTCAACACTGAGGAAGGAGACAGAACAAAGCAACATACATGCACCAGCAGGTAAGAGAAGGGTTGGAAGAGTGCCCAATAATGTCTGCACATCCATCTGGGAAACATGTGGCAAACAGAAATGCTCAGCATGAAAGCCAGTGCTGACAAGAAACTCTTACGGAACTGCCAAGCAGGTCGAAGAACTGTTCTGACTGGTAGCTACAGGTAGAAAACTTACAAACTACTCCTGGAATTATACATGATGTCTTCCCCTCTACCACAATCCTGTATTTTTCTTTATATGCTGCTATACACTTTTCTGACCATGTCAAATACAATGGCTTCAGCAACCTCTAAACTTGGTTTTGAGCTTTAATTAGTCACAGTTAGTCCAGGTCTTCACCAAATCAACCCTCAGGGCTGGACAACAACTGGACTGAAATGAACACAATGTTGCTCTCACAAACAAACAAAAAAAAATCACTTGAATTTAACTCAGCTCAAAGACCAGGCCCTCATAATTTGTGGTATCAGTCAAATGTGAGTTGTCAAGAGTCTTAAATGTGACAGCCTGACAGATTAATTTGTATGCAAAAAAAATCCCTGAAATACTCTCTAATTCTAAGCTGCCACAAGCATTTACAAGAGATTAATGACTTCATACAGTGTTTACATTTAAAAATAAAAAGTTTTATTTATAGGGTAATCAAATTTTCACAGTGGTGAGACTAGATCCACTGGTGTGGAAAGAAGAGCATATATTTTGACAGATAGAGAGAAGTAGACTCCTCTGGTTTTTAGGGGTTTTTTTCCTCCTCTTCCTATCTTGTTTCCCTCCTTGCCTAAGTATCACCCAGGAATATTTCCATCGCTCTTATTTTCCCAGATCAAGCACCTATTCCTTCTAACCACTTGAATGCTGTCTCCCATCCCTTGCTGAAAACTGTTCCCGCCTCAACTGAAAACAGAAATGCAAGTGTCAGACACCACTTGTCTTCACAGATTACCATCTGCATATGTCATTCAGTGGTTAGTTTTGGCTGGGGAATGCATCTGGTAACTGATATTTTTATCTTTATTTTAAATCAGTAAAACAAAAAATTCCACCCCACAAAACCCCCCAGTAAGCACTTCTACCCCCCCAAGCAATGGTGAGACTGCTTCAATAGCCCACTTGACACACCTTCAAATGACAGAAAAAATATCTCTCATCAAACAAAAACTATTGCTTGCAAAGTTTACCATTTAACTGCCTCAGTACAATAGCAGTCACCTGGTCTGCCTGAGATCATTGCTAGCTGCAGACCAGATTTAATCCCACTCTGCACCTGATGTAGAAAGGACTCCAGTTCAGGAGAGCCAACTGTACAACAGGCCAGATGGAGCAGCCTCATGCCAACTCTGTGGCTGACACTCTCCTCAGGACAGTATTCCTGGAGCATGCAAGAAAAAAGGAGGAAACAGTTTCCTAGATTCAGAGAAAGAGACAGAACTCATCTGCTAGGGAAAGAGCACTGACAGAGCCCAGAGGGACTTTCAACCCAGGGTATTACGTAGCTTTTTTGACTTTGAGTCAATATGAACACGAGACAGACATTTGTACTTATGTTCTATTATACCTCGAAGAGGTGATGGGGGCCAGGGGGGTGTGGAATCTATTTGCTCAACACAGAGAAGTCAAAAGTGCATTTCCTAATTCCTAAAACTGAATCAGCAAATCAGCAGAAAATGACACAGTAGAACAACCAGTATGTCTAAATGATACCCTTTATTTCCTAAGAACTACACACTAAGTACATTACATGGGAACTCACATAGGTTGTAACTGTTTGCTTTATCAGGGTGTTGTCTTTAACACTGCTTGGCAACTTATTGCATTCCATTTCAGCTGAACATCATTTTTAATGTATCATGATATAGTTTTTGCTGAGACAAGCAAAAATGTCTCTCTCACACACAGACAACAGAAATGGGTTTTAATTTTTGAAATAGGAAAACCAGAGAAAGATAAAAAAGATACACAAAACTACTTTGGCACATTTGTACAGCAAGTATCAAGAAAAACAAGCAAAATACAGACTGCTGTACGCAGGTAAACTATTAGTCATCATTCTCTACTCCAAGACTGATGGCCAAAAATAACTGCTAGTTCTGGCTGTACAGATTCTTACAGAAGATAGCTCATTTTGATCAGAGTTTGTCATTAGAAATCTGAATATCAGAAGAGAAAAAAAATAAAAAGACCTTTCTTACACTATTTTTACAATCTGCCTTTCTGGAATGCCCTATACCCGTCTCAAAACCAATTCTTCCTTACCTAACTTTCCCTTTGTTGTTCAACTATTTCCTTTTCCAGTCATTCCAAGTTCCTTAGCTTGTGCACTTGAGGAAAGGGTTTTGAATAAGCATGATTTTGCTCGAGGGTTGCAACCCTTAATGCTGAACTCTGAAGGTTCAGCTAATTTGAAGCAGAAGTGGAGCAACCTCTGTAGAGCGAGGAAAGTGATGAGGGAAAGAGACAACAGAAACTCAGTACAATTTCATAAAATGACAAACATCACCACTTTTTAAGGCCTGATTGTGATTCGCCATCACCTTGCATGACAAGGAGAAAAGATATGCTAAAGTTGACAATTATTTTAGTACTTTTTATAGAAGTGTACTTAAAAAAATCTGAAAGCACTAGATGCAGCTGGTCACTCTTTGTCACAGTGAAGTTCTGAGCTCAGAAGAAAGAGAGAAGAAAAAGCAGCTATCATTTCCTTTTATTTTCTGTCTGCTGATTTGCAGTCTTGCAGGGATTCTCATCAACCATCAACTGAACATGGCAGCATCCACCTGAGGACTAACAAGAATGAGAGTGATAAGCTGCAGTCCAGCAGCAGTGTGAACAAAGGATGATGTTTGAAAGAAAGAAAAAAAAAAGGAAAACAAGAAGGCAAACATGGACTGTCATTAAATATACCCAGAAATAAATGGAGTGGGGTTTCTTTATAAAATGAGTACCCATGTTATAAGCATTCCCAGTGTAACACTTCCTGTAAGGTATTTGCCAATGAAAACAACAAACCAGATGCCAGCAACATCTGGACACCAAATAGACTGTATCTAAATGAGAAGGCAGTGGAACTTTTCCAACATAAATTAACATGCCACATAGCAAAAAAAGGAATGCAGTGAGTGCCCAGCACAAATGCAAAGTGCCTGCAGTCTCTTCATAGTGTACTTCTCTCATGTTATACTGAAAAGGGAATCACAAACACTACACTGGTTTTTACACACAGGTATCTCACTGGTGTCAGGCATATTCTCTGATCACCCAGCTACGGGACACATTCATCTGCAGAACTACAGTGTACAACCATGACATGAATAAAAATGAAACACTGGCTTTCTCAAGTTTAAGGAACCATTTATTTGAAGTTAAGCTTGATCAAATCACTGATGTAACTTTCTCAGTAAACCAACTCTACTCTGGGTAGATTTCAGCTGGACTGCTGAGTGAAGACTACTTCTACTCTCAGTATTTGTCCCTCTACAAGAACACAGAGCAAGGCTGCAGCTAATGGACACATCCTCAGAAAAGAGCTGGGCAAGTTCAAGCATCAGGGTGAAAGATTCACTGATAATCTAAAATTCGGAATACAAATCTCTGACCACATAATGGACACATTATAGCCCAAGTTACATATATTAAAAAAAGGTCTAACATCAGCAAGAACTGTAACAGAGGCTGTAGTTAAGGTAGAATACAAAGTCAGTACAAAGTGTGCACCTGTTCTGCACAGAAAATGATGACAGCTTTTCCTTTCTTAAGAAACATACTGACTTTATCATAAGACAACTCTGACACCAGTTTTGAACACTGAAGCATAAAGTCTCTATCAGATCACCTATTCAGACAACATGACCACTCTGATAACCCTTTATATCTCACCTGACTAGTTAATTTATTAGAAATTTCTGCCTCACAGAAGCAACTCAGCTGAAGTTCACAAGGGCATTCCAGCACTGTGCAACCCACAGGATGCAACAAAATAAAAGCTGTCTTGTTTCTTTCTTTCTACCTTTTTTCAGATGCTCTTGTGAGTGTCTGCAAGTTAGAGAACTATAATCTCTACGTGCTTGGACAGATTCCTTACCAGGACGTACACCTGAAATAAAACTTTGTATTCAAGAACACCTGGGTCCTCTGAATGATGTGACACGTGAATACCAAAGATATACAATGACAAGCAGATTAGAAACGCTTTCACTACAGCAGGAAAGCAACATGTCACATTAGTCTTGAAAAGAAAACGATGACCTCTTCAAACCTTCTTCCTGCCAGACATGGAAGACCATATTCAACAATCAGGCTCTGACAGTTTTGACTGTAACCACAGTGGAAATATCCGCTCTTCCAGACAGAGATGTGAAACTTTTGAAACCTTTCACAGAGATTTACTTGGGTAGGAATGGATTCCAAGTGCCTGCAATGCTTAAGGCAATGCAGGAGTTCAGACTGCAAACTGCTAATAATTTTGAGACTGGAGCTGAATATGATTTCTTTCAGCATAGTTTCTCCCTCAAAGTAACTTCTCTCTAGTCTTCAAATGGTCAAAAATCATCTGTGAAAGCAAAAAGTCAGTTGTCAGCAGTGTCTGCAAAGCTAAATTTGGGAAGATCTAAAATGTTATGTGAAATGGTTGCATTATTGAAAACAGTTCCTACAGAAACAGCACGTTTCCCTTAGAACTACAAACAGACTGCAAAACAGTGAGCTGTAGGATGTGCATTCCCCTACCCCATGACTGCTGAAAGCTGAAACTCCTCTATTTTGAGACTTTCTTTTCTGGCATCAGGAACACCTAGGTCAATTTAAAGTAGATTAGACAGATTGAAGAGACTCTTGCAGAATTATCTTCAGTTTCCACAGCTAGACTGCCATCTGATGAACAGCAGCTCAGCGTAATTTAACACACACTCTTAAGAGGGTTTGCCCTTGTCCAGAGTAACAAATAACTGTCACCCTAAAAGCACAAGTTTTAAAGATGTCAGTGTGTTTCCAGGTTAAGAACAAGTATCACCTTTGAATTCTGGTCAAATTCAGTGCAAGGATCAACTGAACATCAGGTATCAATAGCAACCTGTATATCCCTAGACAAGAGGAAGGAGTACAGTGCTTCAAAGATCTTCTGAAATCAGTACATGATAATCAATTCCTGATTTTCCTGTTACACTCTGATTAAGCTATGCTTTCCCTGCATACACACACACAGGGATGCATTTCTCACTAGGCCAAGGCAAAGAGAGCTGCTGAAGAGCCCAGTGTAGAAGAAACTGCTTTCCTGAACACAAAAATTCATCTGTTTTCTCTCTCCTCCCCAACTCCCAAAGATAATGGTGAAAAAGGGTTTTCTAAACTATTTGTTTTCTTGCATCTCACCATCTAAGTAAAGACCAAGAACGTTTGGGAAGCCTGTAGTCTGTGCATTCGCTTACTTGCATCAGAAACCCACTAAGATTGAAATGTACACTTGCCTTTGCTCATTTTCTGTAGCTCTATTAAATCACAGTCCAGAGTTCTCTAACGGGAAGAATTATATGAAGCAGCTCTAGATGCTACACTGTCCCAGAAAGCAAGAGCTGCTCATCCTCACTAGCATTTTCCAGCCACCTCTCCCCAGACTACAAGAAACATGGTTTTCAACAAGCTAACATGCTTCTCACTGCACAGACAAATGCAGTTTTGAACATTTTTAGATGCTGCATAAAACATAGTTGCACCTGGCAGGTATTGTCACAGTATTTATAAGCAGGTAAGAAACAGAATACTTGACTTGCAGCAAGGGCGGTAAATAAGAACTGATGTTGCAAGACAATGATTTTTCAAAAAAGTCAACTGGCACATACTCTTTGTCCTGAATAATTCCTCTTTCAGACATGATTCTACACCTACTAGACTGTACTTAAATGGGCATCAAGCTACAGGAAATCTAAAACACATTACTTAGGTATTGTAGCTTGAATGAATCACAGAGCAAAGGGAGAGGAAATACACAGGGCAGGACTGTGTGGGGACTGTTGCACAGCAGAAGAACCAGTGTACCACACACTAGTTGCAAAACTATGAGAACCCAGACAGTTAGAGCAGTTCTTTCACATCAGATGGGTAGTTACAGTTTTGCAATATGACTGGCCGAACAGATATGAGGAGATAAAGCTTGGGACACACACCTACCCACACACATACATACATCATGGCCTTAAAACAGTTTGGTTCATTTTTTTTTCTTTCACATTCTTCTACTAACTTTTAGATGAGCCTGTGCCAATCAAAGCAGAGCAAAAAGTGTTACATTTTGGAAAAGACACTTGCATAAACAAATCTTGTTTCACAGAAAAAGCTTGAGCAGATCTTCCATGGTTTTTGGGCTTCTGTTAGGCTTAAATTCAGTGCTGGATAATGCTGAACTATTAGCAGATGTGATTTTTCTCCCTTTGGGCTTCCCAGATGAGTACAGAAAACAACATATCCTCAGCTTTGAGAGGCAGATACTTAGTATAATTTCTGTCCTAACATACTTAGGACTTCTGAAGTTCTGTATATATAACAAAGATTATCCAGAGAGCATAATGAATATTTCATTAATTGAGGTTTAACTGCAAATGTTTCTGAATGCAATAGTAAAAAAGATCTACACATCTACACTGTACTAGTCACAACAAACCTTTGAAAGAGTGGTATAAGTGTTTGCCTTTGAGAACATCTTGATGAATAAAAGAATTCTGACGTTTCTGGTCCATTCAAAGAGGAGAATATTAAATCCCTTTAAGCCTTTTCCTCCTAAAAGACTTGCATTTGAGGACATGTCAACTTTATTCACTGAGAGCAAGTTCACTTTGCAGAATAGTGAACTGATGTTGGAAAGGAAATAGACGACATAGTTAAAAAAAAACCCAAACCGAAACTTCGCAGTACCTCAGATCCAGTAGTCTTTGCCCTCTTTGCAGGAATTTCTTTATCCTATAGGGAAAGAGTGAAGTAAAAAAGTGTATCAAGAACATCAGAGAGGAATACTGTATTCACATAACTATAGACAACAGTAGTTTGCAAGGCAATTGAAACACTCTTTTTTGAGCATAAAGGTCTAAACTATAACTTTTAAAAGTAAGTACTCAGTTCTGTTTCATTGTGACATTTTAACCTTCAAGATGTTAACAGAAGAAGATAAAAAATGTACATGGATACATCCACCGTCTCCCAACTACTAAGAAATTTAAGCAGCAATTTAGGTCTGTCCTCAACTGATTAAAAACACAGTCATCCTTCTGTACAGTCGAAGAAGAAAAAAAAAATCTCAAATAAACAAAACAAGTATGGAAAATAAGGCTGGAGTTATCCATCATAAAGTCCACAAAGCTTAGACCATGGGGTGGAAAGCCTGTAACATACAACTCTTTAAGTCCTCCTCTGACAAAGAAGGCAAAATTAAGGGAGACCTTCACAATGACTCCCCTTCTTGCCACCCCCCACCCTGCCCCGCCCAGGCTCTCTGTGAGATGGAATGCTATTTTCCTGCTCACATACCAAAATGAAAGTCTCTCCACATTGATCAGACACTGCTGTACTCTAATTTAATCTACTGAAAAATTACAGACTATAGCCCACTCCTACAAACTCTAAACTCTACATATACGAACAGCAAGGTCAACAGAGAATGTGTGATGGAAATGCCCATTGATTGTCCAGCACTAGCACCCACTGAACAGGGCATCTTATAATGACACTCTGAATGAGATAACTTCCATTGACTAGCACTCAGGTCTCCTGATCAAAAAAGGTTTCATTCATATTTTAAATCTCTCGGTTTTAATAATTCACAAGATTGGCTCATCAGTTCAGAAGTCTCCATCTGAACGCCTTAAAACTACTGACCTTTCACATCATTCATATCATCCATAGAGACTCGGTAACAGATCAAGAAAACAGCTAAAACCCTCCCAACCTGTTTGTCTAACAAGCACACCATGATAAGCAAACCCAAACCTAAACTGAAGACTGGCAGTTCTCCCACCAGTGACAGACAAAACAGGCGTTTCATTATTGCTATAACGAAGCCCCAGGGAGGGTGGCTAACAAGACGTGAAAGTGCTCAGCTGCACCTCACGCACTGCCATTCTCCAAAGGTGTGATTACCACTTCTCTCTTGGGCATTAGTGTTGCCTTACAATTACAACGCTCCTTCTGGGAATTAAAGACGTACACCGTAAGTTGCGCAAGCACGTGCTGTACATATACTACAAAGAAACGCACACTTTTAATTGTAGATGCAGAAAACCACCAATTTAAAAAGAGTAGCAACAGAAAATTAATTCAAGCACACATAAACACAGACCTAAACACAGAGAATAATCACAAGGTACAGTGAGGGTTCCTCCTGCCCTCAATCACTTGAGGACTTAGAGAGACACCTAGGCTTGCCTACACAGCAATCATTATGTTTCATTGTAAGGAGAAAATTTGGTGGAATTATTGCGCCTTTATTACATAAGGAATCAGCCTGAGTTAGACTGGTCCTTTCTGGCACAATACATCTCTCCATTGATTATCCAAAAATCTTTGTGTTTCAAATTAATTGTGTTTCAAGGCATAAATACATACCTCTTTAGATGCAGCCAACAGTGGAATGTCATGAAATGGGGAAATATATTTACCATCTGCATTCTCTGAAAGACAGAACAAAGAAGCAGCATCACAAACCTAAAGATGTGCCATACAATGTTGGTGTTGCTAAACATCATGCAGTACAGAAATGTATATATGCTACGATTATGCATTAGTTAAACTTTTCCCGAAGTTTAATTTCAAGTACTAAAAATTAACTTACATGTAGGACAAGGAATTTGATTGTTTTGATAAAGATTCATTAGAATCAATTTTATTGCTTTAGTATTCAACACTATGCTCCTCTTCTGACTACCTGGCAACACAAGCTATGTTAAGATGAAAAGATCCTTTCATTCTCTTTTCTTCTCACTGGCCATACACAACCATTATCAGAGGAAAAAAAAAAAAACAAAGGAACTTCATGTCCATCAGCAATAAATGAATTAATCTAGCAATGTCTAGCAATGTCTCTAGAACAGTGTGATTTCACTGTATTTCTAATAAACTGGGTTTCAGGACCACAAAGAGAAAATCCTCCAACACAGCAGGCCAAAGTTTGATCAAAAGAGTGAGGGATAGGACAATTGTTCAGGCCCTAGATATGAAATACCACAGAAACTGATATTAACTTAAAGGGGGCCCAACTGCACTTCGGCCTTGCTCCCACTTGAGAAAGAAACAAAATTCATTGGAGAGGATGTTTAAGTTTTTCAAACTACTCCACTGAATTTTTTTCAACATACTAAAAGCCCAAGTACCACATAAAAACAGTGCAAACACTAACTCAAACCTCAAGGAATTTCTCCTCTGCTAGTACCTCTATTCACAGTAAAGGAAAAAGTAGACAAGTAACATCACTTAGCTTTGGACTTAACTTTGACCACCTCAGCAAAGAGAAGTGAATGGAGTTGATCTGCAACTCCTGGAAGCCTCCCAGATGCTTCCCCCAAACAAAACAAAGTTTAGTGCTAGGCTGTTTATTCCCATCAAAGAAAGTGACTTTCCCAGATGAGCTCGTGGGCTGGCAGCCCCAGGGACTGAGCACGAGGCAGCTCTGGCAGGACGCTGCCAACCGGGTACGCGACGCCTCCGCTTCTCCCACACCAGCGGACGTCAGAATTGACTGCTTATAGGTCAATGGACCAAAAACGTACAAAACCACTGCTAGAGATTTGGCACCCAGATAGACAACACTGTTTCAAAAAACCACTGCCAGAGAACTGGCACACAAGCAGACAACATTGTTACGAAAATGGGTAATACTGAACACGGCACACCCTCAGCTCTCAGCGGGCCTTGAAGAGCCTCCTGGAGCACTGCCCGTGTCTTCGCCGTGCCACTGGCTGGCCCCCCCTCGAGGCCGGAGCCCCACGTTTTGGGTGCCAGCCTCCCATCTCAGTGACGTGTATGGAGGGAGGGGGGTGCCCTGGTCACAAGGGACAGGCTGCGCTGTCACACCGCAGAGCCTCCCGTGGCTGTCCCCGGGGTACCACAGCCCCCCGCCCCAGGCTCCCACAACACGGCGGCGCTTCACCCCCGGCGCCCTTCGTCCTCCGGGGCTGGGGAAGGGCACGGCAGAGCCGGGGCTGAGCAGGCCCAGCATCCCCTCCAAAAGCCGGGATCTCCACAGGATCCGCCCCCACACTCTAGAAAACACTGCTCCCTCCCTGCAGCAAGTGGGGTGGCTCACCGAGCCCGATGAGCCTCCGCGGAGCGGGACCCGCCGCCGCCTTCTCCCTCCGTCGCCCCGCGGGACGGGGAAGGAAGGGGTTTACGGAGCCCGGGGCTGCTACTTACTAAAGTAGAGGCGGTAATCGGGCGAGTTGGGCCGCCTCGCTGCTCCGTGCTGTAGCGGGCCATGGCGCCCAGGCGCCCCACCACCCCGCGCCGCCAAGCAGCAGCCGCGACAGCCCCCGCGGCGCCCGCATGATGGCGGCGCCGCCCTCCCCTTCCTGCGGCGCCGTCGCTGCGCCGGCCCTGCCCGCCTGCCCCCGCCGGCACGGAGGCCGCGGGGGCCGCCGGGGGCATCAGGGGGAGCGCCTCAGGCGGAGAGGGAGGCTGTGGGGTGCCCGGCCTCAACGGAGAGCTCCATCGAGTTGAAAATAAATAATAATAATAATAATAAAAAAACCCCAACCCCTACTTGACGTTGTAGGTGACCCCCAGCGGGAGCCAGGAAAGCCCGGGCAGGGTCGTACCCCAGCTGTGCCCAGGCTGAGGTGTTCTCAGGCCACCAGCACTGCTACATGGAAGGGGTTGCCAAGAAGATGGAGCCAGGCTCTCCTCCGTGGTGCCAAGCAATGGGACATGAGGCAACGGGCAGAAACTGTTGCACAGGAAGTTCTACCTGGATATGGGGAAGAACTTCTTTACTGTTTGGGTGACCGAGCACGGGAACAGGCTGCCCAGAGAGGTTGTGGAGTCTTTCTCACTGAAGATATTCAAGAACTATCTGGATGCAACTCTGTGCAATGTGCAGGGAGGTTGGAGCAGATGACCCACTTCCAAACACCGATTCTGTGATTCTGTGTAAAGTGTGGATGCAAAATTAAGGGTGATGGTAGTAGGGTTGCTATCCCTACCTGAGGCCCACAGCAGTGTGAGGACCCTACCATGCTGCTCCCTAGTTCGTTTGTTTGTTTCTTCTTGGCACATGGTTTTATGTCACCCAAGCCAGTTTGTGTCTGCACTGCTTGTGGCCCGGCTATTTGCATGGGTTGCCCATGGCAGGTGAATTCTTATATTGAACGCTGCTGATACTTAAACTAGATTCTCATCTGTATTCATGTTGTGCTGGTTTTAAAGCTTAATACCTCTACATATGATCTGATTCCTTTGAATTCCCTTTTCATTGATCTTTGAGGGCAATTTCAAATTAATTTCCTCTGTCGATAAGGGTGATAGTTCTTGGAGTAGTGCTCCTTATTTGTGGATCTTTCAAAAATTCCTGAAAAGGGGCAGATACCACTATTTGCATTTCATCGACGGAAAAAATGAGACAACAACTTTTGTTGTATCATCACTTAAATCCGAAGCCAATTATCTTGTGTATTCACCGTTAAAGGTGGTCAATATTAGCTTTGAATTTTAGCTGTTTCAGTTTGAATTATCTTGAAAGATTTCTGCAGGGTAACTCCATGTTACCCTCATTATTTTATACAGTATTTTAAATGTTACTGGGAATTATTAATTTGCAGCAGAAAGGCTTAGTCTCTTCAATCAGATTTTAACAGCATATAACTACTTCTTCCCATTATTTCTTCCCTCTACTACTTTGGTAGATCAGGAAAGAGTCAGGATTGTATATTCAGCATGTGCAGAAAGGACAAAGAATTATTTTACACTGGAGCAGGAGATTTTCATGATGGCCTCAGTCACTGTTCCCCCATGTACTACATTGAAATATGTTAGTTGCTGTTCTGGATCTTTAAGGAATCTGCATTCTAGTATGTAGATTTTCCATTACAAGAAGGCTCTGGGGAAAAAAAAAAAGCTGTGGTCTTCTCTGATTTGTGCCACTGCTTGCTGTATTTATGACAATAGACTTATCTCCATGCTATTTTGCAGGCCCATTGCCCACTTCTGCAGAAGCTGCAAAATAGTAGTTCATGTTCCACTAGAGGAGTTGGCATCTTTCTTCACTGAGTTCATCAAATGCAAGGTTATTGGGCTAATCCTCTCCATTTGACATGTAGGGATGAGATTTTTCATAGAATGGCCTGGGTGAAAGGGACCTTAAAGACCATCTAGTTCCACCCCCCCTGTCACGGACAGGGACATCTTTCACCAGACCAGGTTGCTTAGAGCTCCGTCCAACCTGACCTTGAACACTTCCAGGGATAGAGCATCCACAGCTTCTCAATTCCAGTGCCTCATCACCCCCACAGTAAAGAATTTCTTCCTAGTATCTTCCTAATATCTTCCTAACATCTTCCTAATCTAAACCTACTCTCAGTTTGAAGCCATTCCCCCTTCCCCCTTGTCCTGTCACTACATGGGCTTATAAAAAGTCCCTTTCCATTTTTCTTGTAGGCTCCTTTCAGGTAATAGAAGGTCTCTGAAGTTACTGATATTTTAAGTTTATCAAGAGGGCAAATAATCTGCTTTTCATATGGAATAGTTAAAAAAGGGAAAACCTAGATTTTTTTTCTATTATAATAAAATCTATTCTTACATGCTTTCTTTGAGCTGGCCTGCTGCTGAAATGGGCAAGGTTAAAAGGAAACGTGCCACAGGCCTAGCCTTCCGCCTCTGCTTAGTTCTGAGGAATCTGGATTTCATCTATGGAACGTCAGAACCTTTGAAAATCACTTACTGAGCACGCACACAGTACTTTTACACTTGCAAAGCTAGCAGTTGGGTGCAAGGTTATTGTAGTAGGAGTCCAATATATATTTATTTCCCTATACAAGCTTGAAAGTGAAATACGTTGCAGTGGCCAGGAGTCCCTGTAAGATGCACAGAGTCTGAGCACAGAGTTCTCCATTGCTTTGTGTTGTGAACATGGTCTTACCTAAAGCTCTCTCAATTGTAATGGGAAATGGACTGTGAAGCACTTCATTTTTAATTTATAAAGTATAAACAAGTTTCTGTGCAGGTACTGTTTAGATGCATAGATTGATGCCATCATGTTACCTAGCAGGGGTAGATGATACAGCAGAAAACCACACAGAAACCTTGTTAATGCTGCCAGAGCAGAGAACATGACATTTTAGGACTCTGAGGTATCCAAAATTACCCTACTACTGAAGAAATAATAATGCTTTAAATAGGTTTTACTGTATTTTTCAGTATTGTGCATTATATTACACAGAATATGGCAGAAGTATGCACACAACTCCTCAAGTCATATTTGGGTAAGACAGCTTCCTGATTAGAATAAATCTACCTAACATCCTTGAATCTTTGAAACAGATTAATGTTTTTGTTCCAGTATTTACCTTAAGCAAATTGTCCAGAATTACCAAGTCTTTTACTACCAAGGGATTTTTTTACATTCATTCCCAAGCATTTTACATCCAGATCCTTGTAGTATGATTCCAATTGGGCCAGCAATAGGCATTTATAGGACTGATCCCATTTGTTGACCTTGAAACAGCTCCCACTGAAAAACAATAAAAATATTGCTATTTATTTCAATGCAATTAGAACAAGATCCTTAAGACTTAAGTAGGACTTACATGGTACTTAGGTTTTATGCTTGCCCTCTGCACAGGGGTGAATCTCATTCCAGCAAAATGCCACTGGAGTATAGCAAAAACTCAGCAACAATATAATCATCTAAGCCTGAAGGACATCCTTTCTTTAAAAGTTTGTACTCTGCAGTGTACATTTACATTTATTTTAGATAAATTTTTATATACATACCTATGTATTTTAAAATTAAGGGTTTTGCCCATGAAAATGCTGTGCAAATTAAATACAGAAAACGTATTATAATTTAGACACCCATCCTCCTGAATGAAAATAATTTTCATCTTTTCAGCTAATAAGGCTTTGAAGAATTTCATTAGTACCACTATGTGCTATTTCAGTGCATTCACTCTTGACTGGTGATCACATCATTATCGTTACATTTTGCTGTAATAGAACTTCTATCTCCATGGCTTATAAGACCATTAGTCTGAAGGAATCAATTCCTGCCAGCCTTCTGTTTTGCTGCTATGTGTGTGCAAGAGGCCAGCAGGAGGATAGCCACCCTCCCTGTCCAACCACCTCTGTAGAACAGGTCGCTGCTTGCACTTGCTTACCAGTGTTTCCTTGTTCAGCCATCACCATCTCACCAAGGTGCCGATGGATCAGCTCCTACCGGTGCTCCCTAGATCAGACCAAGACAAGCAAGGCCAGTTGATAGAGAGTTTGGGCTAAGTTAGTCAGGCTGCTTTACAGCCAAAGCAAGTTAAGGAGCATGAACAACTCCTCCTGCAGATCTATGCACTGACAGTCTGCAGCAGGAGGAGGAGGATGAGTTGTGGGAGTCATTGGCACAGCTGGATCTGGGAAAGGACATCTAGAGAGGATGTCTACACGCAGACTACTCACACACGTATTTGCATTTTGCTCACGGATGTTGCCTGATGGCAACAAAACACTGCATCATCTTGCTAAGAGGAATAATCTTCTATTTCAGTAACTAGAATTAGGTTTGTCAAGTTATGTTACTTTCCCTCCCAATGTGAATAAAAACACAGACTCCTATCCCAAAGAAACTAAGTACCCTGGGTCAGACTGCAAACCCTTTTTTTTTCTAGGGGTGAATTCACTTCAGCAACCCAATTGCTTTAAAGAGACTGATGCTCTGTATTTATGCAAAATTTGGATTTACATTACCATGTTTAGGAAGACGTCAAGTTTACATCCTGGATTTTTCTGAATAAATTGTTTATCTGAGATGTTTGTTTATTTTTTAACCATGCTTTTTGTTTAGGCTCCCCACAATGTATGTTAGGATTCACTTGCCAGACTTAGCTTCTCTGGACCTCTGCCTAGGAAGCGATTTGGCTATCCTGAGGCCAAGACGCCATGGTTGAGTCACGTTTTGTAGGCTATGGTAATTTTTTTCCTGTTAGACATCTGTATTAAGTTCATTTTAAGCTCTGTGAACGAAGGATTTTCAGCCTACCCTAACTCTCATCAAAACTTGTTTGTGAGTAAAAACTAAAACTTTTTTTTTTTTAAGACTCTTATCTTTGATACCCAAGGCAGCTTCCCCATTACAAAACAGAAATCACGAAATAGTATCTTTTCCTATTCATTCTTTCATTGATTCTTTCATATAAGTGCGTAAACACAAATAAAGAGAGGGGAAAAATGATGTAAAAATACTGTCTGGAAATATGAAGTTTTATTGTGAAGCTGCAAATCTGTAATCATTCAAAATAGGGACTTAAAAGGAAAATCTTGCCTGTTGTTCGTAATAGTTTTTTGG